CGGCAACGCCCGATATACACAGGGGAAAAAGAAGAAGGAAGACAACTAGTCTCCGCGGCGGGCGACGATGAGCTCTTTCTTGTCCTCAAGATGCTGGTTGAGAGCATCCACATATTCCTCCACCAGCCTTCTGTGCTCGATGCGCAGCATGGCATTCTCGTCCATAAGTTTCTCGCTGATGACGCCGGTCCTCTTCAACAAGGCAGTGGTCTGCTCCTGCTGCTCCGCATTTCTGACAATTTTCGCTCTCAGCAGGTCGTGCTCGGCCCGGGGCTTCGCATTGCTCTCATTTGGTTGCCGGATGACGTTGTTAGACTATTCAAACGAGGCTTGCAGGTCATCCTGCAACCTCGCCCACCTGAAGATCTGATCCATCTACTTAAGGACGAGGGCACGCATGCGTCTGTAAGAGTCATCGCCTGCCCGTGAGGCATTTTCCCAGGCCGCCGCGGCGCGGGAGGACATCTCTGCCGCATTCGTGGAGCGGCGAGACATCTCTTCTGCTTCCACGGCGCGGCCGGACCAGTTTGCTGCTTCGACGGCGCGGCGGGTTCTTTGTGGTGCTTCAGCGGCGCGGCAGGACCTCTCTGCTGCTACGGCCGTGCGGCGGGACATGTTGGCTGCTTTTGCGGCGAGGCGGGACATCTCTCGTGCTCCCACTTCCAGGCTCGCCTCTCCCTGGTGGCAATCTCTTGACCCAGAACTCACGCTGGCCATGGCAGACGCAAGGGGACGATGATGAATGACTTGTTTGTTTTTGACTTTTTGCGGACGAGGAGTTGAGGAGGAATGTGCAGTCATCTTGGAGTAGTAGTATTTATAACCGCGTAGTAATACGCTCCTAAGTGGGAAACTGTTTAGGTTTTGATCGGTGTGAACAGGTTTGCAATTTGGAATGTGACGGGACGCGGCCTCCCTGTTCTTCTAAAAAAATTGTGATGGGATGCATGCTCAAAATTTACTGACGGTTATAAGTGTGGCACTATTCTCGGAAGATGTAACGTGGGCACGTACGTCTTCTCGGCCGCGTACGTGGCGTTTGCACCATAGGGTGCACCGCAATAGGCAATGCCAGCACCATCGCACATGGTTCTTTTAATTAGAATGTGTGTGCCCGTCTAGCGCACACACGTTGATTTTATCTAACTGTTTCAGTTTGTTGTGGCTAATCACAAACAGCTCATCCATGTGAAGTGTATGCCATCAATCGCAGACACTTTGATCTGGCTGACCCATTTCTGTTCTGTTGCCTAATCGCAAACAGTTAATCCTTCCGAAGCGTATGCCCTCAATCACACACACCTTGATCTAGCTGACCGTTTTTTTGTTTTGCCTAATCACAAACAGTTCATCCGAGTGAACCGTATGTTGTGTATCGCACACGCCTTCATCTGGCTTCCTGTTTCTTTTGTTCCTCCTCATTGCAAATAGTTAATTGAACTGAACCGCATGCCCTTCATCGCACATGCAACTAAAATCTGAACCGTGTTTGATGCATCCGTCATCGCAAATGTTTTATACATTTCTGACGGTTTTCATACAGCACAGTTTGCGATTATTGCATTGCACACAGTTTCTCGAAGGGTCTCTGATCGTAGTGTTGCGTTAGCAGCATCCTGCAGTAGTGCATGACAACCTCTGCTTCCCTCTGTGAAGGGCCTATCTTTTTTTTGACCAGGAAGGGCCTATCTTTCAATGTTTAATATTTACTTTCATGTAAGAGTCAAAAATATTTACTCCTATTCCAATCTCAATTATTCTCTGCTTGGCAAGAACCATGTGGTAGGGAATGATCCAAACATATATATCCATTTAAATATATGTAATCATGATTTATTATTGTTGACATTATCCCCAAGATAAATAAGTTGGGAGGTGAAACATTAAACCCCCGTCTTCCTTTGCGTCAGATTGAAACATTTTGTTCTAAAAATATGCTTTGAGTACTAGCAATCATGGAAGATTATACGAGAGTTTAGTATGTGAAGTTTGCTTAGCCAAAAGCTCTTACATAGACCCTTACTGGAAATATGATAAACTGCAGTAGCTTTGATAACCGAGAACATAGTTTGTTAGTTTTCAAGAAAGTTTATTTCCTACACTTTAGCTTGTGAATGAATTGTTACTTGATCATGAGAAGTTTTATGATTGATAATTGTTGTTATAATAATGATCATGATGCTACTTGTCCATATTTTATTTTATCGACACCACTCTCTCTAAATATGTGGTCATGATTATCGAGCTCGATATTCGCTTGAGGACAAGCATAGTATGAGCTTGGGGGAGTTGAAATGTCCATTTTCCATCATGTTTTCCTACTATTATTATTGTTGTTTTAAAGTTATACTTCACTTTTTGATGCAATTCTAGTGTCTTTTCTCTCTTAAATTGCAAGTTATATCACAAGAGGGAGATTGACAGTAGCTGGAATTCTGAGCTTGAAAAGAGCTACAACAGAGATAGCTATTATCCAGAGGTCCAAATGACCTGAAAACTTATGGAGATTTATTTTGGAATATATAAAAAATACTGGAAGAAAAAGATATCGGAGAATAATGTCCATGGGCCAACGAGATCAGGGGGGCGCCCCCCTAGGGTACGCCACATGCACTTGTGGGGCCCATGGAGGTCCACCGATGCCCCTCTTTTGCTATATGAAGCCATTTTCCCTAGAAAAAATCAGAAGAAGACTTCCGAGACGAAGCGTCATCGTCTTGAGGCGGAACCTAGGAAGAAGCACTTTTGCTCTCCAGCGGAGCAATTCCACCGGGGATACTTCCCATCGGGAGGGGGAAATCGTAGCCATCGTCATCACCAACACCCCTCTCATCGTGGGTGGACTCATCTCCATCAACATCTTCACCATCACCATCTCATCTCCAAACCCTAGTTCATCTCTTGTATCTAATCTTTGCCTCAAACCTCATATTGGTACCCGTGGGTTGCTAGTAGTGTTGATTACATCTTCTAGTTGACGCTAGTTGGTTTACTTGGTGGAAGATTATATGTTCAGATTGTTAATCATATGTTTATCTCCTCTGATCATGAACATGAATATGATCTGTGAGTAGTTACATTTGTTCTTGAGGACATGGGAGAAGTCTTGTTATAAGTAATCATGTGAAATTGATTTTTGTTCAATATTTTGATGATGTGTTATGTTGTTCTTCCTCTACTAGTGTCGTGTGAACGTCTACTACATGACACATTACCATGTTTGTGCCTAGGGGAAGGCATTGCGGAATTAGTTTATAGATGATGGGTTGCGGGGCGACAGAAACCTAAACCCCGATTTATGAGTTGTATCGTGAGAAGCTATTTTGGATCCATATGTTTAATGTTATGGTTAGATTTATCTTAATCCTTCTCTTCTAGTTGCGGATGGTCGCGGGAGGGGGTAATCATAAGTAGGTTGTTTGTTCAAGTAAGAACAACACCTTAGCTCTAGTCCACACACATAACAACTTATCAAAGCAGTGAATGCGAGTCAATGAATCTTGGCGAAAGTAACTAGACGAAATTCTCGTGTGTCCTCGAGAATGTTTTAATCACTATAAGAAGTACTTCCATCTTATCCTTTGCAATAAAAATATTGGGCACCTTGCTGCACCTTGCTACTTTGGTTGTTACTTGTTAGGAATAATCTTGCTATCAAACTATCTGTCACAACTGTTCTATAACACTTGTAGAGAATACCATGCTGAAAAGCGCTTATTAATTCCTTCAGCTTCTCATTGGGTTCGACACTCTTACTTATCAAAAGGACTACGATTGATCCCGTATAGTTGTGGGTCATCAGCGATCACGGACGAACACGTCAGCAAGTCTTTGTCGTTCGTGCCGAACCGCTACAACCACGAGGCTGACCCGTCCATGGCTATCGTGGACCTCATCTCCACCGGCAACGTTCTTGCCGTAGACTCCCAATGAGAAAGAGTAGGGCAATGGAGACGGAGGGGTTCATATCCCATGTGGGGCCTTCCGTGTCCCATGTCTTACTCTTCCTCGCCGATGACCTGCGACTTCACTTCCCGGAGCTCACGATGGGTGAAGATATTGGACATGGGGAACAACAATGACTTGGATGGATGCCGACAAAGATTTATACTAGGTTAACTTCTATTTGATGAAATATATTTAAAAAATGTCATGAATTTGGTTCGGTTTAAATGAAAATCGTCTGGCTTGCATGAAAACCATCTGATTTGTTTAAAATTATTTTGAAATGTTTTCGAACATCTGTGATACACAGTTGGATGGCCGTTTCTTGTATTAAGGCATCTCCAACGCCGACCCTCAAACCACCCGCAACCGTCTGAACCGCGCGGTCTCGACATGTTGTGCCCTCCAACGCGGGCCTGTATCGGTCCGCTTGACAGTCCAAACGTGTTTTTTCCTGCAATCCAGAGACAAAGTGGGGAGGGGGGCTTTGCGGGCGTCGGGACCACTGCCACGCCCATGTTTGACTGTGCTAGTCCACCATTAACCCCTCCCTCGCCCGCGCTTTCTTCACGCCCGAAAATGGTCAGCGCCGCTCCAGAGCGTCAGTGTCGTATTCATGCCCGGCCAGAGTGGACGCGACCTCTCACTGCTCCTGGCATTAAAGCGACGCACCGGCTAATAGCGCCGCCCACGCCGCTTCTTGGTACACACGATGTCCCTCCGCATTCAAACGCCATTCGCCTCCCTTAAGTAAACATACGCGGTTGCCGAGGAACCCACTCCGACGTCACTCGTCCGTCCGTCTGCCGGCCACCATTAACCACAACACTGTGGCTCATTGCCATCCACCCGCTATATAAACCCCAGCCCCGACCATAGCCACAACCATCCTCCTCCAATCCTTTTTCCTCTCTGCACTACACCCTCCATGGCCTCCTCATGCTCCAAAGCCCTCTGGGACACCCTTTCCTCAGAGCAAAAGAAGGAAATGGCTGAGACGGAGGTCGACGACGCCCCAATGGAGGACGAGCCGGTGCCACCCTCCTCGCCGGTGCATGCCGGCTTCACCATTGGCGAGGCTCGTGCACACTACACGGACATGCTGCAGGAGGAGCAGGAGGTCAAGTTCCGACAGCATAGGTCAACTAGGCCTACAACCTCGCCCTCCTCAAGGAGCACCAGCGTGCGGAGGAGCAACTCGCTGCAGGCACGACCATCATGTCAAACATGGATGTGGCGGAGTAGGAGGCACTGGTCGACTCCTACCACTCCACTCGCGAGATCCGTCATGACCGCTGGCGGTACCGCCTCCATCGGGCGGAATTGGCGGCCGCCTACAGGGAGTTTGACAAGGCGACGGATGAGGTGTGGGGCAAGAGTGACAACGATGAGGACATCGCCAGCTTCGGCCCGGCCGCGCCCCGCCGCCATGAGGTGCTGCGAGCAGCGAGGAAGAGTAGTGCATGGTAGGTCGTCGTCGTTCGGGTCCCAAGAAGGTCGCCGCTCTTCCCCTCCGCGTTGAAGCCAAGCTTGGTGGGCTGAATATCGTCGGCCGATTAGCCGCATGAGGGCGATCTGGAGGCGGACAATTTCACTTCCCGGGGCTCTGGAGGCGAAGCCGGAGAGCGTCGAGGCGGAACCGGAGAAGGCGAAGGCAATAGCCGGAGTTTCAGTTCTTTGGGCTCATGGCCGGACATGAGGAATGCCCGCTGATGATCTTAGATTAGGTTTAGAGTAGGATTTAGTTCGATTTATATGAAAACATAAAATAAATTTTGTTCGGGTTATAAAAAAATATTTGAAATGTAATGAATTTTGTTCGATTTACATGAAATCTGCCATGTTTCGATTTACATAAAATCCGTCGTGTTTACATGAATTTCATCCGTTTAATTTAAATAATAATTAAAATATATGCCGATAATGTTAGATGGTCAGCTTCTGTATCCGTGTCCACGAAGACGAAAGCCAAGCAAATTTGCAGGGTAGGGTTGGAGATGGCGTTGATGCTCGCATTCGATGTGCTCAGGCCGGTTACCAGCGTCGTGGACCATACGGTAGTCGGTACCGACTCGCTAGGCAGGTCGTCTTGTCCACCAACCGTTTACTGAGCACAGCATTTTTTACAGTAAAGTATCCGCACAGCACACGTGGCAAAGCCGGGGCGTCAACGGGCCTACACAGAAACCCGCTAGTTAATTAAAACCTCCCACCCGTCTCTTCCAACCCAGCGGCTCGGCGCACGCATCCCACGCCTTCCCCCAGAAATGGCCAAGCCGCCGCCGGCGGAGGAGGAGGCTGCGGCGCTACGAAGACGGCTGCGGAGACTCGTGGCCACCATCACCGCCGGTGGTGCCGGCGCTGAGGGGTTCGACGAGGCGGCCGCGGCTCTCGCAGCGCTCAGGGAGGCGCAAGTCGGCGGGAGCCGAAAGGGTGCCCGCGGAGAGGAGACTCGATCCGCGAACGAGGCGGAGTCCGTGCCCGCGCAGTTCTTGTGCCCGATCTCGTCCAAGATCATGAGGGATCCCGTCGTCGTCGAGTCTGGGCAGGTGAGGACCGGCGCGCTTCTTTTGCTAATTTCGGGGTGTTCCTTGTTATTTTGGATTCACCATTGTGTTCGTTCATATGCGGTTTTCTTGATGTTCTTTTGACTCCTGGCAGCAAATGTCGGTGCTCAGGATTTCCTATCGTTATGGTTTAAAACTTTCAGTTATTGGACATAAATGTGATCACTTATTTACTGTTCCTGAATCTTCATTCCTGGTGCAAATCGCCGGAATGTATCACCATAATCGAAACACTTAAACACATTGTTCAGCTTCAATATAATTTTTTTATCAGCGGCATCCATGCTTTGGATTGGATCGAAAGCAAAATGCTTGCACTGTGTGAGTTGAACATCTGCGGATGTCACAATTGTATATTCAGGTTTCTGAAGATTAGGATCTTATATAATACTGCGTAGTGGCAGCTCTGCTTATATTTGGATTATTTTGTACGATTAATTAACGGTACATATTCTGATTACTTTTTGTTGCATCCCAGCATAATTAACAGTACATATATGGATTATTATGGTTTGATGAATGATGGGGTGTGTGAATGGAAGAACTGCAAATTTCACATCTATTTGTTTCATTGCAATCACAATTACATAAAATATTCAAAAGCTGTAGAGTAAGATCTTATTTCATTCAACTCATGTAATTGGTGATTTCTTACATGTGAAACATGTGGATTTGAATCATTGTTGGAAGTGAATTTTGTTCCCATGTAATACTTATTCAGTAGGTACCACCCAAATTGCAATGCAATTTTCCCCCAGAAGTTCAGTAAACAATAATATTTTAGGATATTTTATCCCTAGAAACTTCAGGCTTTGACCATGTGAAGCATGTGACTTAAGATGCCTTTTCACATTGACGCCACATGGGTGTTGGATATGTGACATATTATACCATGTCTGTACTATAGCTGTTCCCCAATGCTAGATTTAGTGTGAATTCTTCAACTCATTCATCTTTGGACCAACCAAAAGTAAATGCAGTTCACATTGTTGGCACGTTTTGAATTTTATGAGCATCGAGGGAAGTATTCATGTTTCATATGGGGACAATTTTGACTGGAAGTCTCAAGGAAAATAAATAGCTGACATATATGTTACAACATCTAGATTAAAAAAAATCTCTAGTACATTCATCAGTCTTTGTGAGACCTTATGTGTTTAGTTAAAAAAATATATGACCCATTGATCTTCCTCCAATGCAGACCTATGATCGTCGTTACATCGCGGAGTGGTTTAGTGCAGGGAACCAGATGTGCCCGCAGACCCAGCAAGTGCTCTTAAACACAACTCTCATTCCTAACCTCCTCATCCGGAGCCTGATAGCAGAGTGGTGCACAGAGAATGGGTTTGCCCTTTCACCACTTGAGAAACAGGAGGAAGATCATATTTGCAACAGTGAGCAAAGAACATTTGATGAAATATTCAACAAGATAACTTCATCATCAAACAGTACTGAACGGAAGCAAGCAATTAAGGGTCTTCGGCTCCTTACCAAGCGTAGCAGTGAATTTAGAGCTGTTTTAGAAGAGAGGCCAGATTCCATATCACAAATGACCTTTGCACGGTTTTCTAACCCAGGATTACAAAATGATCCACAAGTAGTGGAGGACATGGTGACTATAATTCTCAACTTTTCACTACATGATAGTAATAAGAAAATAATTGGAGATGACCCAGAAGCAATCCCGTTTCTCATATGGGCACTAAAATCAGGAGACATGGGGAGCCGCAGCAATTCGGCAGCTGCCATCTTCACTCTGTCCGCTCTTGACTCCAACAAGGAGAAGATTGGTGAGTTGGGGGCAATTGAACCTTTGATTGATCTTCTTGAACATGGCAGCATCATAGCAAAGAAAGATGCGGCATCAGCTATTTTCAATCTTTGTATGCTCCATGAGAACAGATCAATAGCTACAAGGAGTGGGATCGTCGATGTGGCAATCAGAGCCATCGGTGATCAGTCTCTTGTTGAGGAATTCTTGGCTATACTTGCTTTATTGTCAAGCAACTATGACATGGTAGAGCTCATGATAGAGTTTGGTGGTGCCACTTGTATGCTCCAAGCAATGAGGGAGAGTGAGTGCAAGCGCAGCAAAGAGAACGCGGCGGTAGTCCTCTTCTCAATCTGTATGTACAATAGGGCAAAGCTGAAAGAGATCGAGGCAGACGAGAATACAAATGGCTCACTGGCTTCTCTTGCACAGAATGGGACTCCAAGAGCAAGGAGGAAGGCTGCCGCCATCCTGGAGATGATGAAGAAAACAAAAACCATCCACATGCACAACAGGCATAGTTCTTGTTAGGATCGGCAACAGAGATGTAGCTGCAGGAACAAGGAGGATGTTCAGTTGGTGTACATATTGAGATACATACAGAGCCATCTTCCTTTTCAGTATATAGGCATTGTATAGATGCAAAGCTAGTGCTAAAGGGTTTTCTCACTGGAACAGGCAGCTCTTGTTCATTTGAAAAATATAGCGTCGTGAATTTCCCCCGGAATGTCGAAGGTAAGGCTTTCCCCAGAGTAGTATTTGCGGAATGGGGAGAACTAATATTTTGTTTCCTTGGTTCTTTTCTTTCATACTAAGAATCTCTCTAGCTGTAACACCCCCTGCCAGCCTCCATTAGTCAGTTTTTTATACAATTGAGGATATCACTTTAAATCTCCTTCCAAGAAAAACATTTAAACCTATTATAGTAGAAAACTACCATTGGCTGCTAGATAGTACTGTCAAGTGTCAAATAATCAGAACATGTTCGGGGGCATTGTAGACTACCTTAAATCTCCTTAAATCTTCTGATATCGTGTAATCAGCGATTTCAGATTGCGAGAGAAGCAGTTATGGCTTACGTACAACAGCAGCAAATCCTTTTGTCAGGTGTGCCAATATCACTTGCAGAAATCTTGCTGTTTGGACTTTTTGGTTGCGGTCTGGTAGTGTGAATGGTAACCTGCAATGAAGAAAACAATTTAATGAATAATTTATGCTTGTGAGATATGTTTCCTGTTATGTACTCCCTCCATTCACAAATATAAGATGTTCTAACGTTTTCTGGATCGGACACATGTAGACATGTTTTAGTGTGTTTGTTCACTCATCCTCCTGTATGTAGTCCATATTGAGATAATCAAAACATCTTATATTTGTGAACGGAGGGAGTAGTTTACAGCACTTTGGTTTAACAGAAAGATACCACTTATTGTTTCTCCTTTTCAGAACTCCATTTTTGTATAGATTGATTGTTACACATGATGTTTGTAGGCTTGTAGCTCCAGTTTGAGACCATTGAAATCACAAATCCGTATGATTATTTCTCTATTTCCGAACTCCATTTTTGTATAGATTGATTGTTACACATGATGTTTGTCCAGTTTAAGACCATTGAAAACGCAAATCCGTATGATTGGCGAAATTTTTAGGATTGCAGCTGCTGCTCTCCGTTTTCAGAGAACGTTGGTATTTTGTTGATTAAACAAACATACTATTACATAGGGTCTCCCGGATACACTTCGGAGCAGAAATAAAAACAAAAAGACCACTAAGTTCATACATGGTTTACCTAGAACCTGTGTTGCTGCATTAAGTTGCCGACAAATGTGCTTGTAGATGGCATCATGGGCGCGTTTGGTATCATGCACTGTTTTTCGGCCCCTTGCATGTGTGACCCAACTGGGCCTGGTTGAGCGAATTCAAGCTCAAAACCATGTTGTGCACATAGTTTGATAGCCTACATTGCATCAATAGCCGGCCATATTATGCTTTTTATTTGGTGGTCTGCATTTGTGCTTCAGGGGTGAGCAGATGCAAACCACAGTTGTTTGGTTGTGTGCAACACAACACAATTAACACTACTTATAGACCATTAACACTCAATTTAATAATGCATACGATGGATTAAACACTACCACGTAGGTTTAAAGATGGGATGCCCCTGCACAACCCCAAGGTGTTGATCCCTGGGCAAAATATACACTTTGACGGCAAATCCATGACAAGTTCAAAACAATGCACCCAAACTGACAAGAAGTTTAACAACTAACTAGACATGAGGAAGAGCATGATGGATATCGCCCTGGCAGCAGTGCTTTTGGCACCTGATCCTACACATGGTGGAGGTGGAGGTGGAGGTGCTATGGATCTGCGCCTTGAAGCTTAGGCCAGACAGCCTCAAGGCAAGCAAGTCATTGGGGACGATCTTGTGCTTTGACAGAAGTAGTCTCAGCCCCTCCCCAGCACCATCTGCTCATGGAAGATCTAGACCTGGACCCAACACTCGCAACATTTGTTAGTAGACAACCTGAGGAGGCGAGGAGGCTTCAAGACGAGCCACTCTTCATCACCGTCCGGAAGGCCTCCAGGATGACAAGCATGGAATGTCGTCCATGTCCTTGATGGACACGTAGAACCTAAGTGGATCTCGTGCCCCCTCCTCGTGGCCAAGCCTAGGCCTGCAGAAAATGCCCAACGACTTGCTCATCTCAGCCATCCTGCTCGGCACGTCCACCCTCTTCAATCACTTGTTCACCGGGATGATGTCCTCGACCGCCTCGGCGCCAACAATGGCATGCGCCCCTCAACCGGCTTTGTCCCACTCCGTCTTCACGGCCTTGTCAGTTTAGAGGACAAGAGTAAGTAAACAACGCATCATACAAGTGGCACTAATCATGGCAATTGGCATTGTTATGATCAGTGCACCATTGCACAGAGCATACAACTGCCATGATCACTAGCAGTTGGCATTGTTATAATCAGTGCACCATTACACAGAGCATACAACTGCCATGATCACTAGCAGTTGGCATTGTTATGATCAGTGCACCATTGCATGAAGCGGGCAGTGCTATGCTCTGATCATAGCACTGCGCTACTGCAACTGCCACTGATCATGGTTGTTGCAATTGGGTAGTGCTATGATCATATCATAACATTGACAACTGCCGCCCACTAACATGGTAGTTGCAATTAGGCAGCGTTATGATCAGTGCATCATAGAACTGCCCAAAATGCATGCACGTTTGTCCTGGGTGATCATGCATGCATACTTGTCCTACTGTTTATAGCATGCACATGCATTGTCCTACTATGATCATGCAAAAACGTAGCACCTACTGTGATCATGCACCAAAAAACTTATCATTCTGATCATAGCAAGAACCCACTAACCAGCAATGCAAGAACTACCAATCTGATCATACCAATAGCACACTAACTAGCATTGCAAGAACTACCAATCTAATCATAGCAAGAACAAACTAACTAGCAATGCAAACCCTACCAATCCGATCATACCAGTAACACACTAGCAATGAAAGAACTACCAAGAACAACCTAGTAAGCATGCTCTAAGCTGGCACATCGCATGGCTCCGAATCGATTTGAATCCAATCTAGTGCAATCCAAAATACCTGAGGCAAAAAAGGGGAACAAGTAGTGGTTGTCGCCGGGGGGAACACCGACCACGGAGCAAACCTTAGCTGGAACAAGGGGCCGACCCGATGCGGATGACTCGACCATTGCAGGGCCACTAAGGGCCCTTGCCACTTCAGCGGTGCTCCTCATGACACACGTGGTGGAGGAAGAGGGTGCTATCATCGATGCTCCGACTGCGTTCCCCTTAGCTTGGCCCGGAGCCAAGGAGAAAACCTTTGAATGGGGGTAAAAAAACTTATGGGCATGACCAATGGGCTTCTCGTGGCCGCCACTATCGCAGCCGACGTGCTACCATCTGCCATCGCTGCAGATGAGCTTCCCTCCTCGGCTGCACCGACGAGCACAGACACCGATGGTCGGTCAATGCCCGCTAACCATGACCTGATGGAGATGGCGGAGGGGCCCGGATAGTCGCCATGAGGTCAATGCCTTGTCGGGCCAGGCCGGCCACCCACCGGTCTTGGATGAGGTTGCTGTCGATGAGGATGAGAGTGAGACAGCACGGATGAGGGTCAGCCATCGGAGATCGCGAAGGGATCAGACGGTGGGAGAAAGTGAGCGAGTGTGGTGTGAATGGGATGGGGCGATGACGGGAAAGAGGAGAGGAGTTATGAGACGTCATGTCCTCTCCCGTGCTTCCCAACGCATGCTGGTGAGAGCCACACGCGGCTCGTAAAAAATGGCTGAATTGGTCGTTCCCCCTCAGCCTGGCCCGAGGATGCTTTAAGTTTCATGTAGGCCGAGAAACGCATGCAACTCAGCCTACCAAACGCCCTTTTTTGCATTGTCCGGGCCTGGTTGGGTCTCCTGGAGGCTACCAAACACACGCAAATAGATGATTGGTCCAGGTAGGACAGTTGAAGTGTTGCACCAGTGATAGGCAAACAAAAGCGAAGATCAATGTTTTGAAGTACTTTTCCCAAGCCAAATATACAGCATGGTGAAGGGTCGTCACCTCAACCAGTCGGGAGCCAGGGCACTAGGTAGAGATTTGGTACATGCAGCAACATAATGAGGAGTACAGTACCTGACAATGCTGGAGATAAAAAAGAGCTTCTTGTAGCGATCCGACCTCAAACGGTCAAATCTATGTGCATAAGTGTCATCCCTGGATCGGTAATGCTGACACACACAATACTTGAAGGATTTATAGCAGAGTTCAATCACACACTTATTACATCGAATATCGCAAAAGAGAGTACTTAATACAATAATATGGCGGAAGGCCAACTAATGAAGATAACAGCGGAAGGCTTCGAAGGTAAAATGAGTCCGTCAACTCCAACGGCATAGCTGAGTGCAAGACAACGACCTAGCGCACCTTACTCTTCGTCCGAAAAGTCTGCAACATAATATGTTGCAGCCCGGAACAGGTCAGCACATGGAATATGATGGCAAAATAACACTGTAAAGCAAAGAACAAGTAGCAGCTAAAACTATATGCATATTTGGCTGGTGGAGGCTCTATGGTTATTTTTGGCAGAAAGCTAGTTTTTTCCTACAACAAAGGAATATATTTTATTTAACTACAAAGGTTGTTGAAAACATTGAGAATGGTAAGCCCATCTCAATCCCAATTAAAGTAATCATTAACCCAACAAGTTAATTAAATAAAGTGATGAGATCAACATAATAATTCAAGCACCAGATACTCAAGATGTCCATAACCGGGGACACGACTAATCATGATTAGTTTGTAAACTCTGTAGAGGTTTGCGCACTTTTCCCCACAAGACTCGATCTCCTCCGTTGATTTCTCGCACTACATGATGTTTGAGAAACGGATGACCGAGACACAGTCTTTCAGAAGCATTAGCCCTTTCGACGAGTAAACCGTACCACCTACATCCCCTACATCTGCTAGTTTACCA